GTCAGTTTTTAGGAGTCTCTTATGTTTTGGCTCCCTCCTTCTCTAGCCTTTTTTTTTTTTCCTTCCCCTCCCCCGTGGTCTTCTGTTAAGTTTCTGAGGATCCACATTAAGAGTGAAAACATATGGTATCTGTCTTCAAAAAAGGATAGTTTTTAAAAAACAGTAATCTCAGGTTTTGCCATTTGGAAAGAATTTGTCTATTTTAACACTAGGAAGAATTTTTTCTAATTGTTTATATATTATTCATTTGGATCATATAAAATCTCTACCTTTGTAGATCAGAAAACATTCAAATATTGGCAATTATATGTGGTCCAATGTAACAGAAAAATGTATGTATGTGCACATGAAGCCTTTACAATATGCCAGGTCTAATGCTTCCCGTCTCATTTTTTTTCCTCAAATCTTTGTTATTTTATTCATTCTTAAATTCACATATCCACTTTTATACACTTGGAAAAGGTTTCCAGAAAGTGTAGAGATTTACGAGTTTCCTGTGTATATGATGATAGAAATTATGATTTTCTAGGTGTAAATGAACAAGTTCCTTAAAAATGCCTTGAAATGCGTTGTTTAAAACTTTGAAGTTAAGGACTGTAAACTACCAGCCTGTGAGCCAAATTCTGCCAACAGTGTGTGTGTGTGTGTGTGTGTGTGTGTGTGTGTGTGTGTGTGTGTGTGTAGTGCTTGCACATGTGCACGTGCACATGCGGGCACAGTTTATGTGTACAGATGTATGACATGTGATGCAGGCACTGCATTCTGATATAGCACAAGCCTGGCCCCTCTCTGTCGTCTTCTAGCTGGAATGCTTTGCTCAATTATAACATTTTCCTGACTCATAAAGCCACTTGGGTTTGTGACTCCCAGGACTCATTCAAAAAACAAGGGATTTGGGGAAATCCAAAGTTTCTCTCGGTTTCTATATATTAATAATCATAATCATGAGTACCAGAAAATAAGGTATAAGATAAAAAGGTATTATCCACTAATATTATGTTTTAGGAAGAGTTACAAGTCCACGAACAAAAATCTTCAGAGTTTTCTAAAAGAGTGGCTAAAATACAGTTTCTGCTTCAAAGCAGCGAAACGCCTCTTGAATTGCAGGTAAGAGAATTTTTATTTAACAGTTGCAATCAAAGCACTCTGAAGTAACTCATGTCCATAAACCAGAATTCTAAATCTTAAACCTAAAGTAAAATTAGGGGGCGCCTGGGTGGCTCAGTCAGTTAAGCGTCCAACTTCGGCTCAGGTCATGATCTAATGGCTTGTGGGTTCAAGCCCTGGGTTGGGCTGTGTGCTGACAGCTCAGAGCCTGGAGCTGCTTCAGATCCTGTGTCTCCTTTGTCTCTGCCCCTCCCCCACTTGCACTCTGTCTCTCTGTCTCTCTCTCTCAAAAACAAATAAACATTAAAAAAAATTTTTTTTAAATAAAATTAGGATCATTATTTAGTTCATCTTTATTCAATTCCTATATTAAGTCCAACTGAATTTTTAATACTTGGCATAGTTCATTATGTTTGTTTAGAGTAAGTATATATTTTTTTATTGTTTTATTAACTTATTTCCAGGCCTCTTGTGTGGAGCTGGAGATGTTGTCATGCTTCTGTTTGAAGGAAAGGGTTTCCTCTTGAGTGTCCTTTGGCCATAAGAAGGAGAATATGACTCGTGTGATTCTATGTTTATTAATGGCTAGATGGAGGAAGCAGGGAGATGGACCAAAGTGTGATTTTCTGTTGTGTGAAGAGATTTGTTACAATTTTTATTTAGGTAGAGCATATGGTGGCTGAGTATGAGCTCTGGAGTCAGACTTTCTGGGTGAGGTCCCAGCTCTGTCATCAGCTAGCTTTATGATCTTGGGCAAGTCAAGTTAGTTAACATTCTAAAGCCTGAATTTTGTCCATCAAGTGCTTACCACAATGCTGTTGTGTACATAATAAATGCTCAATAAATGCTGGCTATTTACTTTTCTGTAGTTTTTTAAATGTTTATTTATTTTTGAGAGAGAGAGAGTGAGACA